TTAATTGTTTTCATGCCATTAAAATGTGAGGGTGTTCATTTGAACCGTTCCCTAGGGAGGCTGCTGTTTATCCCAGCTCACAGCTTGAACGGCACGAAGAGTCCAATTTGTGCATCTTAAACAGTGAATCATGGCGAGCACAAAAATAAACGTGCGTTCTCTCCAGGGAGACGATACACATGCAGATCAACTTGGAGTGTTGGGCTCTCGTGAGGACCTGAAGAATGTTAATCACTGTGGCCAGGCTTTCCATAAAGATGTTGTAGGATCTGGGGCTTCTTCTCATTAGGGGTTAATGTTCATTGTGATCCTACTTGTAATAATGCAGATGCCTCGGTATAATTTGTTTGGAGTTTAGTGTTCTCGCGCTTGCAATCATGGCATCAGGAATGTGAAAAGTGTTCCACGGCTGACGTTGGGATATTTAACATGCAGAGCACTATTTCACAGTACTTAGGGTATCAACAGAGTAATGGGATGAAATTAAGAGAAGAAAAATTTAGGCTGTCTTCCAGTGAGAACAATAGGACTGCAGAATTGCGTCCCAAGGGACTGATGGAATCTTCATGGTTTGAGACGCTTGGAATTAGATGGACTAGGTGTGACCTAACAAGACTTTTCTATCTCTAGAATTCTTTCATAATCCAAATAACTACTAAATACACAATGATGCAGCCCTTTCTCCCCTCCATAAGGCAGTCCAGTCCTAGCTTTTCTCAAAAGCCCCTCTCAGTGCAAAGGACGTTTACAAACGGCATCACAGTGAGATTGGAGATTTTGCTTTTAATTGGGCTATTTCTGAGTTTTTTTCCCCCCTGAGTCTTGTCACTAGGGGAAAAGTCCTTATTTCAGAGAAGATGAGAACTTCAAGCAGTTCTAAAGCCACTCTGCTCTAATTTTAGTGCATTTAAGTTCCTAATGCTCTAACACGAACCTGTCTGAAAGCTAGGAGGACAGGGTAGGTACTGGCCTGCTCTCTGCCACAGTAGCAGTGTGAGATGGGATGGCTCGATGGGAAAAGTGTGAAGTTTGACATGTTTCATGTCCCTGTAGCTGCAGGGTCAAATCTCCAGGACCATGGACTCTACCCTCTCCAAGGAGATCAACTGGTTTGTGCATTTTGCTCTGGATCTTTCACACAAGACCTTATAAACCAAGGAGGGTCACATCTCTTCTGTGTGGGCACCAAAGATCATGGGACACTTTTCTTAAGAAGAGGGGATCCTCCAGTGATCTATATATCCCCTTCCCTTTCAATTGTGCAGACCATTCTGGAGGGAGCTGTATTTCATAGGGGCTGATCATTCAGCATTTGTAAAAGGCTTTGAGACAAAGGGAGTGTTGTAAATACACGCGCACTCCTATCAAGCAGTTGCTAACTGGCAATTGAGAGCAAACCTGAGAACGTAACCGTTTGATCTTCCTTTATAATCCGATTCCTTCCAGACCCAGCGCATGTCACCAAAATGTAAAATTCATCCTTTGAAACCATCGGTTTCTTTAAACCAGGGATTGTTTTCAGTCACCTGGCATTGCTGACTTTGAGATCTAGGGTCTGATCAGTGCAGATGTTGGGTGTGTATGTTTGTAAAAATGTCTCAGAAAAAAATACCAACAAAACTGTTTATTCAGCCGAGAGTCCTTAAGGCCAGTCATTGCTAGTGGGTTTAGATGAGTAGTGCCTTATTCACCAGATGTAGCCAGTCTTCCAAAGTAAAAATTCCTGCTGGTCGGCACCTGGCTTGGCCAACTGCTGTAAGGAGTTCCCAGTTCTCTTCTCCCCTTTTAAAATACAGAGATGGCGTCTGAACCTCGCTTCCTTGATGTTGGGCACAGACTCCTTGATTCGAATGGGGCTGCTGGTGTGAATAAGGAGTAATGGCTGTGGAACTGGGCCTCCGGCTCGGCAGCGCTCTTGGCATTACTAGCCGATTACTTAGCTTGTGTGAAATTCGTCGATCTCGGTCCTGTTCCTTGCCAGCCCCTGCACACAGTTGAAAACAAAAATTGAAATTGTTCTTCGCCTCGGCCAAGAGGCCAAGGATTGAATGGGGCCCAGAGCTCCCTCTAGGACGGGGCATACAGGGAAGCCTGCACTGCTTGTGTGTTCAGCTGCTGATGCTCTGGTGAGCACCAAGTCGGTGGAAAAGCAACGAACATGCTGGCTGCAAGAGTAAGTCTGGTTCAGCGTGTCCCGAGTGTGGTGTTACAGAGCCAAAGCAAACTTTGCTTTGTAATTAACAAGGGTCTTATGGCGATAGATGAGGCAGGGTTAGTCCAAGTTGGCGTCGAGAGAACGTGATTTGAAAGGGGCACCTGCTTTATTAAACAATAAAATAAATTGGGCAAACCTGAGAAGTGGACCCACTTCATACCAAATAATCCACTTTTAAACATCCATAAACACTCGTCTTTCGAAAGATTTTAGGATAATCCCTTTGCACTTTGTTGTGGGTTTTTTTTTAATTGAGTGTTTTCAATGCAGAGTGCAGGGCAAGGGGCGGGAGAGTGAACGAACTAAAAATGACTTGTATGAGCGTGTCGTGTGGATCCCCAAGTGTGTGTGCATAACATTTAAACAGCAAAATTATGGAGTCAACAAAAATAAAACAGCAGGAGGCCCAGTTACCGTATAACCTGGCGTTGAAATATATATTTCAACCTAATTATTTTCATCTCGTAAAGTTAATCGCCACTGTGGGTAGGAAGCTTGTCCAGTGTAATTCAGCCCTCGGAACTGGAACTGGATAACCAGCAAATCCAGCGTTTTGAGTAGCAGGGAGAGCAAGGACCCGTTGTCTATAGTTGTTTTAAAACTGGGAGGACAATAAAAAGAGAGCCTCTCTGCTTGATTTATTTGGGGGGGGGGGCAGTTTATTTAGCATGATTAACTGTGAAAATGTTAGAGTGACGCATCGGGTACCGAGTCCTCTTGTTCATCTATGAAATAGGAGCAAGCCGCCACGCAAACTCCCCCACCCTCAAGGTTTGTCTTCGTTCTGGAGATTCCAGACCACCTTTAGGGCTGAGAGGGCAGTTTCTGCTGCGATTACCAGCAGCAGAGCCCATTTTAGTCTTTGTAACGGGGATCCGTGCGTTACTGGAAACTGAGCGGAGACCCACCAACTCACAGGACAAAGGCTGACGGAAACCAGCACTGCTGACCTAGCCTGGCTTTAAACTGGTGACCCAGGAGCGAAAGGCTCCGTGTCGTCAAAGCTACCTTGTTTTTATGGATGCTTTTCAACTCAGTGGGGGTTGGCAAGACCTAAACTTTATTTAAAAATGAGTAATTAGATCTGGTGGGTTAATAGAAAGTGATTAGTAAATTAATGAAAGAAAGAATGTCCTGCTTTTCATCCAGGGATCTGAACATGCTTTACAAAGGAGGTCAGTAACCTTGTCCCTGCTTTGCAGATGAGACACAGAGTGACCTGGCTAAGGTCACCCAGGATGCCAGGGGCAAAGCTGGGACTAGACCCCAGCTTTCATGAGTCCCAGTCGATTGCTCAAGCCACTAAGCCATCCTGTCTCTCTGGCTGCCCTGTCCATTTCTGTACTGATCTCCTCTACGCTGCCCCCAGTTTGCTTATAAAATTGTAACATTAACACCATTTATTTGAGTTCCTTTGGCTTAAAAAAAAAAAGTCCTCTCTAAAATGGGAATGATCAGAAGGGGGTAACTCAGATTATTTCTCTGAGCAGCAGTTTGCACTGGCTTTAAGTAACATTTGATCATTAAAAAGGGGAGGAAAAAAGTTAATTCTATTGGTTTTTTGGCCTTTGTGTTCACATTTTGCAAATGGCATTTATTTTCCTTCTCAAGGAGATAATTCATCGCAGCAAACGATCACTTTTAATTGTTCTCGGCAGCAAATTCTCCTCGTTTCCGAACGTACCAACTGCCAATTACAGCGTGAATTCTAAACAGCCAAACTTGTGGTTTTTGAGGCTGTCCTCATTTTGTTTTTTAAACAACAAATGTAATTGACAAAAAGCCATTTGGATGTATACAATGTTCATTATCTCTGCAGGGCACCAAGTAGCAACATAGAAGGCAGATTTTGCTTTTATTCTAGCGTGATCTTTGGAATGGCTGTTGCCAGACTGCTCAGCGACATGTTGGGTGCTAGTTTTCAATCTCATTGCCCAAAGAAGCCTCCTTTTTCATTGATAAAATGAAGCTGAATGCTTCAGTTAAACCCTTCTCCCACTCCAGACTTCAGGTATCTGCTGCCACCCCATATAGACCAGCATCAGTTTTCAGTAGAGCCGTCCCCTGTTGAACTGGGGCATTGCAGCAAAGAATGGCGTTGATTAAATGAATTGTATGTACAACGGCTAGCATACCTCGCCACTTGAGGGTTCAGATTAATTAGCAACGGCCTGTGGGCGCTTGTCCTTCTGGACCAGTGAAGTTTGAATCAGGTCCTGCCTCGTCAGATGCTCCAGGAGAATTGACAGCTGCTTTTCCCCCCGTCTTGCAGCACTTCCAGTGTTACGAGTCTGACTTTTAAGAACTAATGTCATTTGACAAACAGACTCCCGTGTAACTGCTGCAGACCTGTGATGGTGGAGAACCGAAGGCAGGGGCTTGGATGAAAACGCACTGTATTCATTTTGTTTCTTGGGAATCATTGCTTGTTAGTTGGATGCTCTGTACTGCAAACTGCCAAACCTGCCTCGCATTGACCGCTGTATAATAGCTACAGCTTAAAACCACGTTTTGCTTTCCATAGCAGGTTGTTTCTCGGTGCCTAGAAAGTAGTTCTTTAGTGGGCAATCTACGTTTAGTTCCAAAGCGGGGATCAAATCAAAGTTTTAGCTTGTTCCACTGTGTCAAAGTCAGTGCTGCAAGCTGGCATTTATAAATCAGGGCTGGGTAATTCATCCACTCTCAGAGGTTGATGGGCCCTTTTACTAAAGAGGTTGTGTCTGGAAAGAGATTCCAGCCCTGCATTTCCAGACACTTGCTGACAGAGCTCTGCTTTCTCTTTCAGCAAAGTACCTTAAAGATGGATATAGAAGACTGCAATGGACGCTCCTACATATCTGGTATGTCACTTATTTTGCTGTTGTCCGGTATTTTGGATATCTGTATTTCAAAAGGCCATTTTCTGATGCTCAGTAGTTACCTGTCTGGGAGTCTAATGCGGGTGTGTTGCTTTGCTCCACAGCTCTACCGTAAGGCACGTAATTTATGGTGGTGATATGGATTGTTTTCAGATTATCTAGCGTAGTTTGTTAATACTAAGATCTGAAAAGTATTGACACATGTTGTTGGCATTCCCTGTCTCAGCAACAGATACATCCACTGTCAATAAGGATAGTTTTAGAAACTGAGTTAGAATTTAGTTTGCCAAGATCAACCTAATGATACCAGATTTTATACACTTGGTTAGTCGTGTGTGATGGTCCAGTCTGTTCAGGGTGCAAACCCAGGCCAGTGAGGGGTTGTGTCACCACTTGCTATGCAACCCTGGGTGCCTTACAAGGCCTTGATACTGTAGTTCTCAGCCTGGGACGCTCACAGTCAGCAAGAAGCGTGCAGATCACATCCTGAGGGTCTCTGCTTAGACAGCCATGGTTCAACAGCCTGAATATAGCCCCACTCTGGCTTCCACCAGCCTGGGTTACAACCAGTGAGATGACCCCAACGCACCCCCAGTCCTGAGTTTCCCCAAACCCGTATGCCTTGACGTGTCCAGCCCTCTCCCAGCCAGCTCAGGGAAGTAATAAGGTTGATTTGCTCCTGTGAAGAGTCCCATCCCACCAGCTCATCACTTTAACTGGAGTTAATACTCACTGCCAGTTCAACACAGCACTGGCTTGGTCTGTAGTAAAAATAAACCATTTTATTAACAGAAGACTGAATGAAGTGAGTTCAAGGGAATAAAGGTAGAAAGGATTCCAAGTAACACACAACAAAACATGCTTCCAATGGCTAAGACTTCACTTACCAAGCTACTGTCTGGGATCAAGGTAAAATCCTTACCACGTGCTCCCAGCAAGATAACTCAAAATGGCTGATCATACCAAGGCCAGGACCTCGTCACAGAAGAGCAACAGGCTAGCTTCCCTCGTCTCCCCAAGTGAAAGAGATCTTAGGGGCTCTCTTCCCCTTCTCTCTAGTCCAGTTCCCACAGACTGCAACCCCTGCCCCCTTGGGTTGAAGGATCCTAGAGACTGGTACACAGCTGCCTCCCCTACCTCCCTGTCTGGGAGGGAGCTGTTCCTTCTCTTCTTCAGCCACATGTTTTAAAACATACTATTAGTGAGTCTTCATAATTCCTCCTAGAGCGTTAATACAGCCATTTCCCAAGGATGTTAATCTCCAGCGTGTTCCAGGCATTCATAAAGGACCTGATATCGTATTCAGTCAGTTGATTCAGTTGCATATGATTTGATGTTTAGACTCCCCATCTCTATAGCTCAGATAAAATTTCTCTTCCCTGCTGGGGTGTAACCATGCTGTCTCTCCTGCCTCCCCCCCCCCCCCCCCCCATGTGTTAGCTTGATAGCTTTATTTGTCTGTAAATGCATTCTCATTGTCTTTCCAAGTACTTTGGAAGTAACTGCCCAGTAGAGAAACCATATTCCTTTGTGTGGGGTGGGGTCACTCCTGTTTGACTGGCAAACATATTTTAAGAATTATACTTTCAGTTTCTGTCCATAACTTTGCACCAGTTTCTTGCACCTACATGACACATTGATATTCATAACCAGCAAGTTACGAGCTTTCTAATGACGTTACATGGCCCCTCAGATACAGATTATAACAATAGTGAGTTGGGGGGTGCTGGGCTGGTCAGACCAGCTGCCACTCGCTGCTAGATATCAGGAAGCCCCTTGGGCAGTTCTGAATGTCGTCATGTGCTCGTTGGTTTGGTGATCATTAGTACCTCGGGTCCTCCAGACCACAGGTCAGATCTCGGCCCTCGCTGCAAACGGAAGGAAAAGTATCTGTCCAGTGACATCTGGCTTGATCTGCAATGCTAGCTAGTCGAAGGAGTTTGCTTATGTTTATAGGATGGATATTTTATTCTCTCCTGTTAGACTCCATTCTTCCGCACATGAATACACAATGCTAAACACAGGTGATATTTAAGACCCCCATGGCTGCTCTGAAATATCTGCCCTGCCAAACACTGCACTATTGTTCGTTAGAGAGTGTTAAGATTAAATCTGGAGCTCAGGCTGGGTTTGGAGCCATGAAATGTTGCGCGGGGAGAGGGTGAGGTGTGTGCATGGGGTGAGTTCACCTCTTTGGTGGTGTTTGATTGTTACGATCTGTTGGTAACATGAAGGCCCTTTGCCTTTCGGGTGTGGGTGGAGAGAGCGGGTCAGAATGATGGTGAAGATCTCCAGACGTGCCAGTGGGTTTCAGAGGCTAGAGGGTTGCCACTGGAAACCTGGTGCCTAGTCTTTGTAGGTGAGAAGTGAATGCTAGCTTGGTGGGGCCCTGCAGTTCTCTAGTGGATGAGTCCATATCCTCTTCTTTCAGTTTGAAATTCAGTCTCTGCTCAAGGAAAGCCTTGGACTAGGATAAGGTTTGGGGTAGATTGATCAATTACAAAGCCAGAGTGGAGCACGGAGGTCGGCTGTCTGACCTCTTGCACAACGGAGGCCGTGGGGCTTCCCTGAATTCTGATTGTAGACTAAGGTGATAGGCGGATGGAGCTCCATGGGCAGTGACCAAAAGACCTGGACTCCCAGGGGTGAAGGTGGGACGTGAAGTGCATTAATAGAGCTTTGGGGCAGAGCCAGGGCTGTTAAACGGGGTACTGCCGCCGGCCAGGATTGGGGTGCACTGATGGAGCTGGGCAAGGAAACGTGAACAGTGTCTGTTTGCAGCAGACTCTGACTGACCGAATCCAACGAGTGTTCGTCGTTTTTTTGTTTTGTTTTTAAGAAAAGAAGCTTCCTCTGCTCCCTGGAGGCCGCGTGCTGGTGGCTGGAGTGTTGGTTTCTCTCAGTGCTTTGCTGCTTGGGGTCTGGAACGCCGTAAAGTCCTGGGATCTGGCCGCCAGGATGCCCCCTTGCTAAGTCGTGAGGAGAGGCTGGTGGCTCGTGTGGCGCGAGGGTGGGCGCTTGCTGGAAGTGGCTGCTTTGCTCGGTTAGTTCATTTTCCCACTCGGCAGAGCTGCATCTCCCTGCTTTGCGGCAGCCGAGTTTGACCATGCCTGGGTGCACTCCGCTCAGAGGTTTGCATTGTCTTGCAAGCTGTTGCTTCCCTTTTCTTTGGGAATTTTCTGGTGAGCCTCGCCCCTCCGCGCCGCCTTTGCAGCAGGTTGCTGGTTGGCCCTGAACTCCATGGAGATGCTGTCGTTCCGTAAGAATGCTTGAAGTGAACAGAGAGCAGCTCCGCTGATGTAATTTGAATCCTGCTTGAGCTTAGGGTGCGGGAACTCCGAGTTGCAAGCAGCCGCTGGCCGCTTGTCAAGGATAAAGTAGCAAAGAGACTGATCAAGGAGGGAAGAAGAATTGGAGTCACACAATCACATTTTCCTCTTCCCTGTGGGGTGGCAAAGCTGGCCAGGCCGGTGTTCGCTTTTTGTCAAGGATGCTCTCCGCACACTCGCCCTGTAGCCACCTCGTGCAAGAGGGAAGTGTGACCAGAAGGAATTCAGAAGCTGCTTTATCCTGGCCTGTCGTCCCAGGCTGCAAAGGGATGTGATCAAGGATGATCTGACACGAAACACACCGGCATATCTAGCAGGAAACCTGTCTCTGGGAAAACATGAACGATAGCCAGGGGATCGGGCTCCACCTTCCATTCTTACTGATGCTTTGATACCACATTGGTAGGGGGCGAAAGTCAGGCCCAGTGGAAGCCGGTGGAGTTGCACCTGCTTACCCCACATCTAAATTTGGCCCAGAGTGCAAGCCCACAACGTGGTGAGTGGAGCATGGAGCCGTGGCTTCATCAGAAAGTGTCTTGGCTTCTCTTGATCAAAGTCAGACCCCAAACCTTGTATTCAGTCTGTCTTTTAAAGTGAATTTAGTGCCAATGAAAAGTGCTTGATGGATCGTGCTGGAGACTGAAGTCCTCTAACTCCAGAACGAGTATATCGTGCTCAGCTACAGCATAGACCAAGCCCTGCCCTGAAGGCCCCCCTTTGAGGGGGTGGGGGAATTCACTCTCCAGGGCCCATTCGACCCTTGACCTCACAGTTTAGACAGTTTGCAAGGGGGATCCGGGTGATGTTCTCAGCAGTTACCTCTCCGCAAGGAACCAGACCAAGAGCCCCCCAATCATTTGATTCGGGTCTTGAATAGCCGAGGGTCAGGACTGACTAGAGTAGGTTCAAAAAGAAAAAAGCAGAACCAAAACTTGCGTCAAAACTCTCTTCCCCAAAAACCGGCTCTGTAATTAAAGGGAATTTCCAGTTTTGTCAGATTTTCAGGCTTTCCTTGGAAAACTGAAAACCTGAAAATGTTTTTAAGAAAATGGGAACTTTTTCTGAGAAAATAAAGTACAGTTTTTGATCAGCTCTGGGAATGACTCAGTTACTACCAGTCACGGGGGCAGTAAACAACACGTGTGGCATATCAGTTCCCTGAGGCAGCAAGTCCTCGGACTGTAGAGAGAGAACACTCTCTCCATGGGTTTTAGAAAGGAAGTAAGAGCCATTCTCTGTGATTAGAACTTTGCTGTTCTGTTACCATCAGACACATGTGATGAGACTGGGATCCTTGCTGCCTACTGACACCGTCCGTTTGCTTCGCCTTTTGCCTGAGGTGATTGCTGGAAGCAGAGAAGTGTGTGTGTGTGAGGCTGGGGGCCTGGGAGCAAGGACTCCTGGGTTCTGTTCCCAACTTTGCCACTTACTTGTATGTCAAAGCACTCGTCTGGGTGAAGCTAGTTGCTTTCGGTCTCTCTTTGCCTCAGTTTCCCCATCTATGAAATGGGGATAATAGCATACAGAGGCCTAGTGAGGCTTAATTACTTTGGACAACAGGTGCTATAGACGAACAAATTGTTATTTTATGTTGTGTGCAAGACTTATGCACACATTTAGTTAGTGAAGTGTGTTACCTTAGGCTGCCTGAAGTCTTAAAGCTGGAAGAGTTATTCGAGTCGAAAACTCTGAAGAGACGATCGGAAGCCATAGACTAGTCCCTCCAAGAAGCAGGCCAAAGGAGTGAGAGAAAGCTGCAGATCTTCTCTTTGTGTGTATTAAAAGGAAACCTGCTAGTTCCATTGTGAGTTCCTGGGCCTGTCTGCCAGGTGCAGGTGACTTATCCAGAGCAGTTTGCACAAACCGCCCGTCTGGAAAGGGTTAAAGTCCTCTTGGAAGATAGGGCACTTGGCTGGCTCGGAGCTCCCCAGGACACAGGTCGCTTGCCAGGGTCTGGATTGCGTTAAATATTTCCCCACCCATCTTCAATCCATGACTAAGATTTAAAGACACCCTCCTTCCCCAACCCATTACTACAACTGGAGGGGCTGCCCCAATGTTCTGTCATTAACTGAATGCTTGGAGGGTGGCTGCTGCTTGTTAGAGGCCTAGACATGGGTTTGGTGTAAGTGTACGTAGGAAAACACTCCCCCCACCCCTCACCGTTGTAGTTCATGGTACTTTGCTCAGTTGCGTCTCGTGTCCATGCATTGCAAGGTCCGTGATGGCAGATCTGAGGTGTATTCCCCCCTCTGCAGCATTCAGTCCCTCTTGTCTGGGTTTGGACAATGCTGTGTGTGCGCTGGGTGCCCTGCAGCCATTCCCCATGGAGACAGGGCTCTAGGGTTAGCACCTTTTTGCCCTAGCTGGCTTGTTAAAGGGATGGCCCAGCCTTGCCCTCTCGCTGGCTGTGCTATTTTCGGACACGTGCGCACACCCGCCGAGCAGCCAGGGGAGCGAGCGAGCGTGCGTCTCTGCAAAAGGGGATGCCGCAGCCCTGAATTCCTGCTAACTGTGCCGCTTGCCTGTAAAATGACGGCCGTTTCTCTCACTTCCAGGAATCTGTTCTTCCTGGAAGGTGAGTGGCTGAGTTCACCCTACCACTGCCATGCAGACATGCACACACAGCCTGTATTTCAGTGCTGTTTCCAAGGAGTTGGCTGTGAGAACACTCCAGGGTATCTTCAGCAAGGTAGAATAATGTAAGTGAAACGGGAGGGCTGGGGGGAAGAACTCCGTGCCTTTTCTGTGTCCCTTTCCGTTTGGTGTCATCGGCGGTGGGGAGGAGAAAGGGGGTGTGGGTTCTTTAACATGCTGTGCAGAAGAAATATCTTTAGATGGAGATTAAGCGATTGCGGGGGGTGGGGGGGATAGGGAAACACTTGACCATTTGAAATGCTACCGCAGGCTTCTGACCATGGAAAAATGACAAAAAGGCAACCGCTGGCAGGGATGTGGGAACAGCACATGGTTTATAATCAGAGGTGCTAAGTGCCTTTAACAGAGATCAGGGTGCCCCTGTTCCCCCCCGAAGTGCCTTTTTGGAGAGGCTTTCCGGCTGTCAAATGTACACTCCATGCAAAGTCCAACCGTAACGCCCAGCTCCGGCCGGCAGGGACTGAGACAAAGCTGGGTCCCACTCTTGGGGGATGTTAAATCACCCCGACTGACGCCTGCAGCATCACTGGGTTTCCTAGTGTTGGGTTTGGTTGTCTGAAATTGTCTCGTTAACCTCCCCTAATTCAGAGCTAATATCCGTTAGCCGGGCTGTGTGGCTTCTGCTGGCGACGCATGGTGGCTTAGCGTGACTCAAACTTGCTGGCAACATCTTATTGAGCCAGTCAAAGCATGGGGAAGAGGATCCGGGGGATCTCAACCACCCCAGCCCAGGGAAACAGAAACTCTCTTAAAATATTGCTCCAGGGTGGGCTGGAGGGGGCAGAACGCTGCCTGAGGAGTCCCAGCTCAGCGTGGTGATTTGCAGCCCACCACATCACTTCAGGGCGTTTATGGTAAATGACTCCCATTGCCGGCTTGGCCTCCTGATGCAGCATTCCCTCTGGCCCGTCAAACACCAGAGCGAGCTCGACACTGTGTATGTCGGGACTCGCGTTTACCCAGATGCAGCTATTGGAAACAGTTTGCCCATCTGCATTAAAAGTGCACACTGCTACAGCCTTCTTCATCCCAAAGCTCCTCGCCAACTCTGTTCATGCTGCATCACTGAGATGCAGCCACTTCTGGGGTGCAGGGCAGCAGCCAGCACGCAACAGCGGTGGGGAGGGGACACTCACTCGTGCGCTCGCACATGCGCGCTGCCCCAAAGGTTTTTGCGTGTCTGTTTGCAGCGGGGGGCTCTTGGTCCAAGCAAGAAACTGTGCAGTGCATCATTAATCACAGGAGAGTGAAGAGCTGAATCAACCCTGCTGGATTGAATTAACCCCCGGTCTCCCGGGGCTGATTTTTTGACAGCCACCTTGTTGTGGGAAATGTCCACCCCCAGTTGGTGATTGCAAACCACCGTATGTCATATGCTGGCTCACGGTCCCCGTCGGGCTACAGAAAACAGACCTGCATCTGGGGAGAGCTTCAGCCTGTCCGACTGCTGCCATGTTGTTCTGGCAAAGGGACGTCCCAAACGCCCCTTGGGAGCCGTCCCAAACGCTTGCGTAGCCAGGGGCCCAATACACCTGGGATCCACCTTTCCACTGCGGCCCGGCGGTCGTCCTGGCACGTAGCTATGTGGATCCTTTCAAGTGTCCACTAACCACTTCACTGCAAAGTAGCCCCCAGTTTGCATGGCACCTGGAATGTCCCTAGCTCCATGGCCACCATATTGCCCCCCGGTAAGGAAGGGTTTGTCTTGCTGTGAGCAGCACACTGTAGTGTTTGTCTTCTGACACCCAATCTAGAGATGTCTGAGGTCCAGCCGGAGCCTCTTTCCAGGGCTCCGCTGCTTTGGTAATGAGGGAGAGGATTTCACTGACTGAAACCGATCTTAAAGCTGGCAGGAGCAGCCACATCTCATCTGTGTTCCCTGCTTCTTCTTCCCGAAGGTAGTGGGGATACCTCTCTGGAGAAAGAGTTCAGCTCGGCGCTCGTGGGACCCACGGTGAGCACCCCAAACAGCCAGCACTCCTCCCCGAGCCGCTCCCTGAGTGGTGAGTACACAGTCCTCCTCCCCGAGCCACTCCCTGAGTGGTGAGTACACCGTCCTCCTCGCCACATGCAGCTGGCTCCACCGCATTAAGGCTGGGCTCTCTGTTAGGCCAACCAGGAAGCTTGGTGCACTGAGTTTCCTTTAGAATTTGACTTTTCAAACCGAAGAGGATAAATTCTGACTTCAGTTCTTGTGTTCAGAGCTGCAATGGGGTTACTTACCTGAGCTACCAGCCTCTCTGCCTTGAGATTTAAAGTCACCTGTGTGTAACCCTGCCGTGCTAAATTCCATACTCCCCAAATAAGCTGCATTTGTTCGTTTGGCACAGAACCAAAACACCTGCGTGCTCCTGCCTCTGTTAACAGGAGAGGAGTTCACTCAGGGGGGATGAACCCCAGGGGCTACATAGGAAATGGACCAGGGCCACCTCTCCATTACCCCTCTCAATGGGAGTTGGGGCAGGTGTGGAGTTGGAGGTGTAGTTATTCCTGTGACCAGCCTCTCTGCACTCGGAGCCAGTGGAGAGTGGATAACGTGTGTCTAGAGAAGTGTAGTAGCTGGGAGTGTGTTTTAGCAGGAGAGGGATTGTTTCTGTAGCTATGGTAGGTTTCTGAAAGCTGCCGGGCGTGTTGAAACAAACCTCTTCAGCACGAGACTAACGTATGCTCCCCGCTCCAGACAAGCGGTTAAAAGAGCTAGCAATGTCTGAAACAAGATCTTGGCGCGAGAACATGACTCTGGACATCAGCAGCTCTGCCCTCGTGTGCATCCGGAGCTTTGCCTAGCCCGGCTTGCTGAGCAAGCGTCAGGTAGCTGGAAGTCCAGGGGTATGCAGTGCCAGGTTGGTGAAGGGATGGGCAAAGCAGAGGGCTAGGAGCAGCCGCTCTTAAGCACATGTTGGTAGGGTTGGCGAACATTAACTCTTAACCTCGGGCCTAGGAGATGAAAGGAGCCTGCTTCATTCCACTGAAAATCGAAGGCATATGCCGTCTTAATGCCAGCCGTGACTGATGACTTGCAACCTCTGATCACCTGAGATTGCAGATGTCGTCAAGTCCATCCAGTTCCTGTTGGGGTTTTTTTTCTCCTTCTACTCAAGATCTATCTTCAGCGCTCTCGGGAAACGTCGTCTCCCTCCTCTGCGGAACTTTAACGTCACAGCATGAAGTCACGTTGGCGTGGCCCATTAAAGGCTTGTCTGTGTCAAGCTGCTGCTGCTTGGACTTTCCGTGACGTGGGTGTGGCTAGGATGAGTGATGAGCCAGGCTGGGGTGGGACGTAGCAGTGAGGTTTGGACGCACTTCTGATTGAAAGTGTGTAAGGTGAAACATTTCTGCCCCGTCTCTGCGTTGTGACTGAAATCTTTCTCCACGGTCCAAAGGTGAATTAAGCTTCTTTTTAAAATACATTTCAGAGCCCACGTCGGTGAAATAGGCAGGTCTGATATCAAAATTGCCCCCATAATCCTGAGTCTGCTCGCCCACCCTTCACTGCGGCAATTGCTGAGAAATTTAATGTGTCACTTGCATGTCAAAAATGGCATGACCCTAGGACAAGTGGAACTTAGCAAGGCTGATGTAGGCTTCAATTGTAAACATGCTATTTACATCACAAGCTTCCTGGGCAGTGGCCGAGTCTCCCTACAGCTCATACAGCTCTGAGCACCGTTGTCCCTTTAATAAAAATAGCATTAAAGCAAGAGAACCGAGAATTGATTCCTGCTCCGCTTGCAAGCCCTGAGTTCAGTTCTCCCCCAAATTGACCCCAAATTGAAACTGACCAGTTAACATCGTTCACTGTGATCTCTCCTCTCTTCCGTAAGCACGGAATTTCCTTTCCATAAAAGAGAAATTGCCGTATAGATCATCCACTTTCACCATGTGCTTCCAGCAGCTCACAGATGCTTGGATCTGGAGGTTGCCCTAAGGGTGCTAGGACAAGTTAGACCCAAAGCAATAAGGTTGCAGCAGGGTGAATTAGCCCTGGTCTGGTCCCCTTTCTCCTCTATTATTTGGCATGTGGTTCTTGTCCTATAAAAATGGTTAGAAGGCCTCCCCCAAAGAATCCAATTTTAGGTCTCGTGCAGGAAAACCCAAAGACACACGCAACTTGGTCAAAAGCAGACGGAATCCAACCCACGGACCAACCTAAAGAAAAAGAGAGCTCTCTTCCCCTTTAACAGAGGGAAGCTGGTGATGGTATTGCTCCTGATCTGACTTGACTTCACAGCTGGTTCATCCAGCAAGCATTGTGCCCCAGAGGAGCGGGAATATTATATAACCTGCTCTGCCAGCGGAGAATCGCGCTCCAGTGAGACTGGACTCCACATTGGTTCTGAAAGGAGACTGGCAGAACAATAGTCGGCCTCCCTCTGCCCAGAAAGAAAATTACAGTCCCCGGGGGATGGAAAAAATCAAAGTGCAGCACACATCCGCGTATCTGGGCAGCTCCTGCCAAGGGAGAGGAGCTTTTCACTTCGTGTTTGTGCACAGAGGCGTCCGTTCGTGCTGTGTCTCCAGGATGCATCCAGTGGAATGTGGTGTGTTTTGAACTTTGTGCTTCCGCCCAAGAAAACGTTTCAGCCTCAGAGTCGATCCCAGCCAATGTCCAGCAGCGGGCTTGACCAGTGGTGTGCCAGGCAATCTGTTATTGCCCAAGTCCGAGCAGAAGCTTTGTTCCTCTCTCCAAGAGATTTTTGGGAGGCGGCGTTGTCCATTAGCTACAGCGGGGACTGGAAAGCCAGAACCCAGCTCAGCCACTGACCTAAAGCAACCTCAAACGAGTCCCTTCCACTCTTCATTCCTCCATTTCCCCCATCTGTGAAAGGGGGCTGAGCCCCCTCCTGCCATCGGGGCCTCCTAGAGCGCTTGGAGATCCTCGGGTGAAAGGCACCAGAGTCGTGCAAAGGGAATGTAGCATTCACCATCCTTCTCCGGACAGTCCAAGCAGCTGCCTCGCTTGCACTGGGGCCACCTGTTGCTGGCCACCCGCTCACTGGGAAGGCAGTAGGGACCGGTCACTTTCAGACTGTGGTTGGGATTCACTTGTGGAGAGCAAGGGGGCTGAAGACTGTCAGTGCTGAGCCTGTGGTCCCAGGAGGTCACCTGAGTGGAAGATGCCACCGAAGGGCAGTGAGAACCTGCAGCATCCCGGCCAGCACACCCTGCAGGAACGTGCCTGCCCTGCCCCAAATTGGCTCATGATTAAGGCTCTAATCCCGTTGATATTCAAATCACTGTCCTCTTTTTTGTTGACTCACAGCGCTAAATCCATGCCGAGCTCTCCATAGTATGGTGCACACGTTCACTGAACCTCCCAGGCCAGAGGTAAGAATTGTCCCCGTTGCACAAGGATGTGGCTTGCATTGCTCTGGGGTGTGGGGTCCGCATCAAATCTGGGATTAGTCCTCAGGAGTTCAGGGTGACTAGTCCCACGTCCAGCCCTCGCACCCGTCTCCAGAAGGCAACGCGGGCGCTGTGAGGCAATCCAAACATCCGTTACCCTCCAAGCGGGAGAAAAGCCCCTCTGTTTGTAATCCAAAGTTCAGGCCCATCAATTTCCTGGCATGCTGAGAGGTCAGGAACAGCCACATCTATTACATTAGATGGAAGAAATCGGACTCTGATATTTGAAAGGAGGCAATTAAAATTCTCTGTGGCTTAGTGGTGGTCTGCCCTCCCGCAGGGTGACCTGTTCAGTTCCCCGTCTCTCACTGGCCCACCCCAGCCCTCGCAGGAGCACTAGGAAATCAGCTTGGGGGCCGGGGGGGTCTCCATTACAAAGAAGCAGCTCTTGCTGTCTAAAGAGCAGCATCAGGAATCCCCGGAGGAAATTCCCCCTAGTTCTTGGCTGACGAGGATGGCTTAAAACAGCAGGAAACTTCTAAACTGAGTCATGCACAGACCTTGCTGTCCAGGTGAAACACGCTTCACGTGAGGCTAACGCCACCCAGATGGAGATGCTGTGTCTTGTTAAGGGTGTGACTAGCGTTAACGGGCTGGGGTGCTCTCTCCTATCTCCCCAGCCACTCTGAAAACTACCCTGCCCAGGATGGCCTGAAAGCACCAAAGATCTGGGGAGAGATTGCTCAGAAAACGTTGGGGAAGGAGCAGGCTGGGGACAGGGAGACCCAGCCCTTCCTCTGCCCACGAGGCTCTACCTTGCAGGGAGCTATCGCTGTCCAGTTGTCTTCCGAAGGGCTGTTTGATCGGTGGCATTCCACAGATCATTAGAATAGCTGGGAATGTAGGTCACGGCTGGCATCTCCGTTCTGCTTTCCAGTCTCAGCCTGCGATGCTGCAGAAGCGAAGGAAGGTAGCAACCAGGAGGCCGTGTGACGCGTGCACAGACGCGGCTTGCCACCGGGGGGCCGGGAGCTCAGGTATACTGTGCGGTGTCAGTTAGAAACCCCCCACCCCCCAAACCGTGCTGTACAGATCACCTTGGCAGCAACAAAGAGCCGCACTGATCTGCCTGGCTAACTGTCCCCATAAACCTCGGTGAGCAGTACTCTCCTCCTCATTCCGCCAGGGTGCGGGGCAGGGGTGTATGTAGCCCCACTTCCAGAAGCAGGACCCCTTTCCATGGCCCCAGCCCTTCTCCCGCTTGGTTTTCACTAGCCCCCGGCCAGTCTGGCCAGCTGCTGTTTATAGAACTCTCCTCTGTAATGCATGTGTCTTTCCCTAGCTCACCACAAACCCCCTTTTTTCCAGAGGCTCTGGATTGTTCCAAGCCCTTTTTAGTAACCCAGGGCCCAGTTGCATAGCATCTACCATTGTAGCTACCTAGCGCCCCCGCCAGGTATGTCTGCATCCGTGTTCCCATTGCTGTCATGTGGCTGCTCACACGCTTGTCGACTTTCAGGGAATTGCCACTTGGGTCGCTGAGTTCCCTTGCGAGTGTGACGTCGGCGCAAAGCACTCCATGAGGAACGCACGTCCCGTGCTGGACACGTGCGTTTCAAGGCCTGCTCTGACCGCTTGGCCGTCACTAGTGGGAAAGTGGAGCTGTTGGCTTCAGGTGCTCGGTGCGCTGCCTTGCTCGCTTTTCCTACTTTTACCGATGTGATGGCTCGCGTGCCGTGCGAGTTTAAAGGACACAAGCCATCCCTTCGTTCTCATGCAAATGTTCTGGGGGGGGATGTGATTTGCTGGCCCTGCCATGCGGCTGTTCCTCTGTCAGCGCTCAGACGTGGTGTCTTGCCCGGTGACTGCTTTCAGGAACCCGTCGTCTTCCGCTTCCTCTCGGATGCCCCTTCTCACCCTGGTGGTGGTCTCTCAGCGCTACTTGCTAACCCTGACGATCGAAAACAGAAAAGTTTCGTGTTCCATTTGGCCACGTTACTGTTGTGTCTCGATTGTTGTCTTGTGACTCTTGCCTCCTGCGAGCCGTCAGTTTCTTTAATGCCCTGCGATGGGGGGTTGCCCGGTTTTCCAGTGGAAATTGGAGCAATCCAGGAAGTATCATGAGGGGCGGTGTCCTTATGCACCCTTAGCCGGTCGTGTTACTGACAAGCAGATCATTTAACTTTCTTCCCTGTTTTCTTTGCCGTGACACCCACGATGTCCGTGATATTGGTTGTTTTAAACTGCCTATGGAGGTTTTTCCATTTCCTGTGTGTTTATGTATTGTCCCTCCCATCCCCCTGCAGCAAACTCTATCAAGGTGGAAATGTACAGTGATGAAGAAGCGAGCAGGCTGCTGTCGCAGGACGACCGCCTCCTTGAGAAAGAGGACAGCGTGATTGTGGAGGACTCCCTCTCTGAGCCCCTGGGGTACTGTGACGGCACGGGGCAAGAGCCTCACTCTCCGGGCGGCATCCGGCTACCCAATGGCAAGCTGAAATGTGACATCTGCGGGATGGTGTGTATCGGCCCCAACGTGCTGATGGTGCACAAACGGAGCCACACGGGTGAGCGGCCGGGGCAGAGACGCTAAGGACTGAATGGGCCGTGGGCACTTAACAGCGCATAGAGGGGCTGGGGTGGCGGGACGTCTTCCCTGCCGGGCTGTCAGTCCAACACCCCTCACCCAGCAGGACAGTTCAGGGCAAACGTTCAGAAGGTTTTTGTAACCCGCCCAGTGGAGGGGGGGTCTCACGAGTTGCTTGCGTTTCAGGAGAGAGGCCGTTCCACTGCAACCAGTGCGGAGCTTCCTTCACCCAAAAGGGGAACCTCCTGCGGCACATCAAACTGCACTCTGGCGAGAAGCCCTTCAAATGTCCCTTCTGCAACTACGCCTGCCGCCGGAGAGACGCGCTCACTGGCCACCTCCGCACGCACTCAGGTGGGTAGCGTGGGGGGCCGGACTCCTGGGTTCCATCTATCACCAGCATATCTGAGCACCCCCTGGTGGTCAGTCTCTCTCTCCGCACCACCTCCCTGCTGCGAGGGAGGGAAGTGCTGTTGTCCTCAGTTCACAGAGGGGAATTGAGACCCAGAGAGAGTAAAAGTCTCACCCAAGGTCACACGGGGACTTGAACCCCCGTCCCAGGCCGGCACCTAAACCGCTGGCCCAGCCTTCCTCCCGTGTAGGCCTGTCCTCCCAACGGGCTCCATGGCTTTGAGCGAGTCACTGTGTGTCTCCGCCTCAGTCCGCTGAGTTTGGTGCAGTGAGACCCCCGCTGGGGTCTTGCCAAGAGTCTGGGAACTTCCCCGAATGGACTGAAAACAAAGTGGTTTCTCCCTGGCCCAGGATGGTGCTTGGCACTCTGGGGCCGCACCTCCGTATCGCAGAGGAGAGCCCCGGGGTTGTCTTCATGTTGTTCGCACTGGTGTCCTCACTCTGGCTCCTACCAGCTGCAGGTGCAGCGCTGGGCTGGCCCTGTCCAGTGGAAACAAGCGGCTGGGGTTTTCTGTTGTTGTTTTGACAGTGTCCTTTTCAATGTGGCATTTGAGACGGGGCTTTTCCCTTGGGTTCCGTGATGTAACAGCTGGCTGAGGGCGTGGGGTGGGAGTGAAAGATACCAGCTCCCTCTGAGCTCTGCTCCTTTTCCCTTGACTCGTGTGCCGGAGTGTCTGCTCCGCCGTTGGGCTTTTAAAGTTCACACAGGTGTTTGAAGCCATCTGTGACTTTCTCCTATTTAACCTTTTGAGTGCCAAAGGGAAACAGGTGTCTCGTGTGCCGGCTTCCTCTTTCTTTTCTTTTCTTTTTAAAGGGGGGGGCGAAAACCAACCTCTGCAGGAACTTTTCTGATCAGGGTCTTGCCCAGGGTCCTTTACTGAGCTGCCCCAGGATGCTTTCCCCATCCGTGGCCTTGATGGAGAGCCCTGATTATCTTAACAGCCCCACGCAAGGGGCCTCATGTTGCAGCCCCCAAGCTTTCCTTTCACTGGGGCTGAAGGCTTTGTCTCCCCATCTTTTGGGAACCTGTCGGTTTCCATCGGTGACTTGCCTGAAGATGCCAAGGGGACATCTGAAAAATGTGAGGCACCAGCAACCCCAGAGCAAGAACCCTGCCCAGGGACCGATCTCTGATTAACCTGCGACGGGCGGGATTTTAGTGCTCTGTTGTTTGGTGGGTTTGGACCTGTTGCATCTCTGGATGTTTCTGCAGGGCAGGGAACAAACTCTGGTGTCTCTGCGTAAACCGGAACTTAGCAAAACGAAGTCGACCTGCTGGTGAAACGTTGGACTGAATGTGGCAGGCGTTTCTATTGTAACGATTCTTCTCTGACCAGCTTGACGCTGTTCCTGGTCGGTTTCACCCAATGGGATGAAGTGAGATTAGTGGCTTAGGGCTGCAGGGATAACAGGGAGCCAGTAACAAGAAGAGCCTTTCCCCCAGACCGTCCCCGTCAAAAAATAAATAAATAAAATAAGTCAATGGCTGGGAGCAGAAACCTTAATGAGCCTGACTCCAGAGGGAGCAAAGAGCCTGCCTGTTTTATCCAGGCTCATTTGGAGGTTGAGAAAAGCCTGGTAACAGCGACAGTTCTCTTCTCTGCGCCGAGACCGCTGTACATTGCCAGGGCTGGCTGAGCTGCGGCCTGTTTGCCTTGAGGCCTTCAGTCTACCGCAATCAACATCAGCTGTTGCCTTCCCGTCCACCCCCAGCTCCTCCTGGTGGTTCATGGCGACAGCTAGTAATGACGGCTCCGCTCGATCTGTTAGGGAGCAGGCCGGAAGGTACCTGCCAAGCTCAGCCCGAGCCGAGTTCCATCTTGTTTGGCGCTGTTGGTTTCCGAACAGGGGAAGAGTTACAAAATGGGATTTACAAATAGCAGAACAAAGTCCTTTGACGCTTGCTCCCTACGTGTGTCACAGCACGAGCAGGTCTCTGTTGTCCCTTCATTCGTAGAGGGGTGGCTGCCAGCGAGCAGCTTCAGAAAGGGTCAGTCAGTGCAGTTCTTTGGGGAGAGTGGAGCACAGGAATTTGCTATACAGGATCAGACCTGTGGTCCTTGTTTAAACTAGTACCCTGTCTCCAGCAGTGGCCAAGGCCATTTGCTTCAGAGGAAGGTTCAGGGAATCCCCTAGTGGACAATTACAGAATAATTTGCCCTTGAGGGAAGTTACTGCCTGACCCCTGATTGCTAGTGGCTGATCTATGCCCTAAAGCATGGGGGTTCCTGTTTGTCTTATTCTCTGTTGTACCTGGAAGGTCTCATTATCTATATGAATGTTTTTGTTTGAGTTCTCTAAGCTCTTGGCCTTAGTGATACCTTGGGGCAGTGAGTTCCGTAGGTTGGTTTGTGCATTGTGTCACTCAGCCCCGTTTTGGGAGCTGGGTGTACATAAAGGTGAAATGACCAGCCTTAATCAGTTGCATTTGGTAGCATGTGGCTGTGAATGAGGCCCTTGGCAAGGGATCCAGCAGTTGGCGTGGGTCATGTTGGCTCTGAGCTTTGCACTGCGAGCACCCAGGCTCTCGTCCCTTCTCCTTAAGGTGAACATGGTGCTTGCGAAAAGGAGCTGTTTGCCCTGGCTGTGACCTGGCAACGTGCAGGCAGAAGCAGGGCAAAGGGTCCATCCCTGTTCTAGGCCGTGCCACCTCCTAAGCAAAGACCCGCCAAACATTCCCAGTGATATGCCGGACAGATCAGCCATTCAAGTCGGGGAGGGTGGCTGCTACACGTCTCCCCTGAGGCTATCCATTGATTGTAGGGTTTTGTCCTGCTACCCGTGCACTTTCCACATCAGATTGGCAATAGCAGAGTCCCTCATGACATTCTTGGAGTGAAGTCGGGATTCGAACCCAGGTCTCCCGAGGTGAGAATCCCATGCGTCAACCTTCCTGTGCTTCGGAGGCCAGTTGGTGCAGTCGCAGGGCTGCACTAATGTCCTTCCGCCTCGTTACTTTAGGGCCTTAGTTCTTCTTGTATCGGGCATGGAAATAGGACAGGCCTGGTCTGGTTTAGAATATCAAACATCATTCATCTTTAGAACAGCTAATTATTAAGAAAAAGTCTCATCAGTGTGTGGATTTTTCAGCCACAGAAAGGGGACTGCCCTGCCTTGCTGGAAGGGAACTGGGGGCTGGTTTTCCTCCCCACCCCCTTAGCTAGAGGCATGTGCGTTTCATGCTGTCCCCCATGGGCATGGCCAGGCTGTAATCTCAGAAGAGAGTGAAGTTTTAAAATCCAGATCAAACGTGCCGCGTCGTTCTGAAATAGATCAGAAGCCGCATCCCCCACACGGGACAGCTGTGATGAGACTCCTGTCCCTGGAGACCGCCTTCCTTTTTAGCGTTTGCTGCTCCTCGCAGCAGCCTGCGTTCACACGAGAGCTTTCCCCAGGTTACTCTAGAGCCTTTTCTGAAGAAACTTTTTCCCCTCCTCAGGATTTGTAGAGACTTGACAGTCAAAATAACCCCCTTACTTCCTTGAAATCATTACGCTATGTTTGCTTGCCATCAGCCGTGCGTTAGGTGCTGTACAGACAATTGAACCAGACCTGGTCCCTGGCCAAAAGAGGGTTCAGTCAGGTGACGGACGAAAGCGGGGGTGGTGGGAGGGAGGCTCTCGGAGACACAAATTATGCCCAGCAATCCTGTAAAGTAGGTAAGTGGTATTGCACCTGTTTTTCAGCTGGGTAAACTGAGGAAGAGAAATGAAGTGACTTGTCACAAAGCCAACGAGTGGAAGACCTGGGAATAGAACCCAGAAATCCAGTTCTCTAACCATTACATCATCCTGCCTCTTTGTCACAAATTCCCCCCATGTGACCATAGAGGGATACTTATTCTCTACTCGGGCGAAGGCTGGTCCCAGGAGAGCAAGCGGCTGCTCCTGGACAGAGCCGAGGTGCGTTAGCGAGGGTGTGAGGGAGCTCAGCTCAGGAAATAACAGGTTGGTGCTCAGAGACCTGTACCAGCGTTGTCAGAAATGAATGCTGAAACCCAGACTCCTTTGCAAACGAGAGCTGGTCTGGGTCATGTGTATTCTGCCATCTCTCTGTAAAGAACTGGGAGTGGTCTGCCCAAAGCACTCTGCAATACTGGCCAGGTCAGGAGAGAGAGAAAAGCTTTGGATCTAAAGGCAGATTCCCCCGGAAGGGAAAATAACTGTGGGGCTTTTCATCCTGGAACTTCAAAACTCTGGCCTAGAAAACCCAACTCAGGACCCCAGCCTGGTTTTCAAAAGATTTTTCTGAAGCCAAAAATAAATGCAGATTAAAAACAAACAAACCAAAGCATTCAGGGAGCTATTTACATAAGAGCTGAGAGCGCTAGACTAATGAGAGGCAATGGAACTTTTAGTCAAGTCGCTAGCATCTAAATAGCTAAAGATTTGGGAAATAATTCCTATCTCTAACACAAAGCCGCCTGTCTGTGGTTGCAGACTACATTAGCCCATCTCCCTTGGGGCTGGGTTAAACAGATTTTTGGTTGCTGTATGAAAATAATGCTGTTTAGTTGGGGAGGGAGGAAGGGGTTTATAGCTGCAATCAACTCCTCCGAAGTGATTTGTAATTAACGCTGACTTGTTAACTAGCCTGGGCTGAGGTCTGATCCAGCTCCGAAGCTGGGGAGATCATGGAGGAAGCCACGTGTGGCGATGACGCTTGCTTTCTCATTGTGTAGGGCATCAACAAGTGGTCATCTGCTCCCGACATGCAGTTATTGATGACAATCTTGGACTTAGCTGCACCATTTTGTCTGGGGCGGGGCCAGTCCAAACCCGTCGATCCTCTCCCTGTATAACCACAGCAATGGTGTAAACTTTGTGGGCTTCAGTGAAGATGCCCCAGTCTTTCCCCAAGGCTGAATTTGATCCCTGGACTCCAAGCCAGTTCCATGTTGTGAGGTTTCCTTGGTCACTTCCTACTTGCAGCTGCCAAACAGT